ATTTCTAATGAAGCCTGAAAACTTGCATGTTTCAGTACGTACCTGCTGACAACAGTTACCCGATTGTGCTCCATACTTGTAGTCAAAACTATTTTCTGGTAGGTACAGTAATCCTAACTGCAGTCGGTTTTCACTCTTGACGTCAAAGAAGTGACTATTCTAATGGAGTCTTTGATCTTTACCTCCTCGAAACTAGCACCAGTTTCGTTAAATCCTGGGCACACTGCCAAATGCTGATGAGTAGCAGAGTGTATGGGATGAAACGTAGGAAATCCATTACCCATTTGTGAAAACTCCATAAATTTTCATGAGAGGTCTTAAAAGTTATGCCACAATTCAGCAGTTTTTTTCAGCAGGAACGCGTTACTCAGCTGATGGCAATGCTAATTCTCAACCTACTCTGTGGTTATGTACAACGGATTTTGTGCACGTGTCAATCACTAACAAATGTGATGTTTTGAAACTATATTCCATTTGGTGAGTCAGTAATTTTATTAAAATAAAAATAATAGTTTTGTCATTGCAGGCCATACCAAATTGATGTTGACGAGGCACAATTCTATTTTAGATGCGAGTGCTTTGTTACTGCCTGGCAGCTTGGGGTTCTGCTATTGTACGTAATCACCGACTGAGCTTTTGCATCGGTGGGGTTGAAACTTGTGCCGTATTCTCTCAAACTGCAAGTCACCTGTTGAATTTGTTAAAAAACAAAGTCCCCTGCTATTTTCAGGTCTCCCTGTAATTACTGTTTCTTTCTGCTTATCTATGGTTTTGTTGCAGTGGGGGAAGGATTTTTTTTACTATTATTATTATTAAGAACATTATAGGATTGTTGCTCAACAACGTGAACACTTTATGTATGTAGAGTTGTGTACATCATGGGGGAAGTGGGAGAAAAGCAATCTTTAGCATCACAGCTCAAATGAGCATTCCACTAAAATCCCCAGTAAAGCTGTATGTTAATTTTTAAACACCTTGGAGGAAAGACCAGCCTTGTGTTCTGATGGCCAGTACTCTGCCCATTGATCAAATTAATAAAACACAAACTAAATTTAGACCTGCTGTAATTGGAAGCAAAACTATCGATAGAAATGGATTTTCATGGATCTAGGTAAGTACGTGTAACTGTTTCTGTGTTGCGCTTCATTCATTCATGTTGTGCTTAGCCCCTTGCTAGTATTAGCGAAGTTGCATCTATTTCCCTCATCCCTAAATGTAAATCAAACCACAGTTTCTGCATCGGATTTTAGCAAAACTCAACAGTGACCCGAGTACCTACTCTTAGGGAAGGACACTACCTATAACATTTATTTTTGCTAATTAGAAGAATGGGCAGCCAAGTTCAGATCGGCAGTCTAACCAGCATGGGTCTTAATGTGAGTGAGTCCAAGTCATCAAACGGATTGAGGGGAACAGGCGGCAGTCACAAGGGGAGGTCACAGGGGACTATACAGCTGGGCACTTTGTTTGGATTAAATTTTGGATTATTTAAAATTCCTCATTCTTTGTTGTTAAGTCCCTAACATGTTTTAGCTCTACAACAGAAAATGGCAGCAACGCTAACTTTGTTGTCAGTGTTACAACACACTTGTCTGTTGTGTGGATAAGACTCCTTAAGACTTAAGATACAAGTGTTAAGAGAGGCTCTGTGCTTGCCAAAGCTTTGACCTCTCTCTCTGCCATGACTGCATTGAACGACAACTGATGCTAGTATTTTAAATCTTCAGATTCCATTCTCAAGAATGAATGCATATGAATAACATTATTTATAGAAATAGAACGAATTTTAGGTTAAATTATTTGAATGACCAAGTCTTTACATGAAATTCTTAGCAGAATTATCCCATTATCTTAATCACATCTGACATACAGATTGCTATATTTAGACACTACGCTACAAAGATTGGGTTCAAATTCTGAAGTATTTTTAGCACAATGGTTTCAGATACTTTCCTGGGGGGTTTTATGGCTTTGGAAGAACACAAACGTTTTTTTACCGGCACTGAGAATGGACAGTCTTCAACAAAACAGCAGAAGAGGGTTTAGTTCTCTCTGCACGTACACATGCTTAAGAAGTGTTGACCGATTGTCAAAGAGCCCTAGAAAAAGAAATGAGCCCTTCCAAATCCCCCCTAAACAAGTGGTACAGAAATGGGACAGATGGCTAACCAAACGGCATGAACTCTCCAGTTGCCTTTAAAGGTAAAAGCAATCTTCTGTGTACTTGTGGCCAAGGCACAGTAAGAAGTTGTTTACATCATGTGGGAATGCTTTTCGGGTTTTATGGTGTAACAAATGTGCATTCTTAACCTTGATTTATTTTGATGTGCAGATTCCTGGGCAGTAATTTACGTATAATACCAGTTCATAATACTGCTGAAACTGTTAAGTTAATGCTAACTATAGCTAAGGTAAGTCTGGTTGCATATACTTAAAAATACTAGTTCTTCAGAAGTGTATTAGCCAGGAAAAGCCAAGAACTATAAAATATTTGTTTTTCCTTAATGGAACTTTTTGGGTCATATTGACCACAATCCATGTAATCCATCGAGGTAGGACTGTTACTCTGATGCTTTAGCTGAGTCTTTAAACTATTGTTAAAGGTAACTTTAAAAGCTCTTCGTAGCATCTATGAAGACAAATTAGATATTTAAATACTCAGTTCGGTTCTTATTTACCACTGTTAAGTTAGGATGTTGTCACTTCACTTACTAGTGCAGAACCAGCATGAGATCTAAATATGTAATGACTTCAACTTAAAGTCAAAATGCCAATCTGAAAACTCTAGTTACTTGTGGATTTTTAATGATGCACGTACTAGTACATTATTTCTGCCGCTTAATGAGTGTAATTTATCTGCGTATCTGCAACATACCCTGTATGCATTGACACATTATTAATTGGATCTATTTACTGAACCTCTTTAAAGAACATTTTTCCATGAAAATTCCAACTTGGATACTAACTGTAACAGTACTAGCAGCATCCCATGTACCAAAAATAAAAAGAGCAGGTTGAGTGACACATTAGGAATCAAATATGAATTTACAGTTTATCCTCTCCTGAAGTGGGCATCTCAAAATAATAAGCATTAACCTGTTCAGAGTATTCATCATTTTAAAAGTGTGTAAGCTACATCTCACTTATTACATGGCAAAAGTTGTTAAATACTCATCACAATGTTGAACATCATACTTAAACTGATGTCTGGCCCAGACTCTCAATACAGCATTAACCTAAAAGCTTTTAAGATTACTGCTGATCCTATAAGCTTGAATTTGCTTTTCTACTCGTTCAGAATGTTTACACCAAACTTCAACGGGAGAGCCCCATAAGAAGCGATGATCGTATATATACACACCACAAATCTATTGGTTGCCGTTACATTATTTCTTACTGCTGCAGTGCAAAGCCAGTTTAATGAGCTCATCTTTTGCCAGAGAATCCCTAACTAGTATAGGGCCTAAAAAACAAACTTTTTTGCCCCAGGTTAAGAGACATGGCCAAGGGAGCAATACCGTCCAACTAATCCCGAGCTACCATACCC